GTATAGCGAGAGTCGGTTTAGCTTAGCAAAGAGAAGGCTACAGGGTGGCTTGATCCCAGCCCATAGGTATCTACGTGGGGAACAAATATTTAACATGGGCTCTTGGATCCAGCAGGCAGGGCTAGCACGCTCCAATGGCTGGACGTGGAAGCCAGACGGATTCCGACGGGATCCAAGGTGTGCATTTTTCAGTGAGGGTAATTAGCCATTGGAACAAATGCCCCAGGGCCTGGTGGGTTCTCCCTCCCTGGCAATGCTGAAATCCAGACGGGCTGTTTGTCTCACAGCTCTGCTCTGGGAAGGGTCTGGGGGCTGTTCTCCGGCCCGGGCGATCCAGGGATCAGACCCTTCTGGCCTTGCAGGGGGTGAACGTAGGATCTCCCCAGCCTTCGCCATCTCCTGCTCCCCTTTCTCCTCCAGCCGCCCCCACTCACCTGAGCCCCAACCCCCCCATCTCCCACGTGCCCAAAGCAGCCGGCTTCCAAACACCCAGGGAGCAGATGGTTTCCATGGCAACGGGCCGAATGACGCATTCCCAGCACTGCCAGCCCCTCTCCCCTCAGGGGAACCTGCCACCGCGCTCTGACAGAGAGGGGGAGGGGGCGGTGATTGGCACCTGCCTTGGCGAGGGGAGCGGCAGGGGCCGGGCGCTGGCACAGAAAGGGGCTGAGAGCGTGCACAGCTGTGACACCGTCACACACACGCACACAGGGACGCGCACACACGCATTCACGTGCACACACGGACAGGTGCGTGTGCACACACACACACACACACACACGCTCCTATGCATGCACACCTGCTTGTGTCTATTCACACCCCCTTCCCCTCTCATCCTGCCCCCATCTGGCCCATGCACCTCGCCTGCCCCGTTCACCCCACACAGGGGTTGTCGTTTGGGCAAATCACTTCCTCTCTCCCCCCCCCAACGCCCTGCATCGCTCTCCTCTGCTGTGGGTTTGTCTAGGACAGGGGAATCAATCTGGACTCAGGCAGAGGGTGGATTCACACAGCTGTCCCAGAGACAGTGTCCCCCCAGGGAACTATGCCGGGCTAGCTACGCCGGCCGGTCCGGGGCAGGGACGGTCTCTCCCTGTGTGTCTGAGCAGCGCCTGGCACCCTGGGCCCTGAGCTCAGCTGGGGTCTCCAGAAACATGAATAAATAACACTGATCTGCCCCCGGGGGTTTCTAAGGCCCCATCATCTCAGTATTGACCCCTCACCCCCTGCTTGCCCTACAGACACCACCCCCATACATTGTCCCCCAGAGGGGCATATTGCACCCCACTCTGACACACCACGCCCCCCTCCAGCTAGCAGTATGAGAGGTCTAGGTGTGCCCCCCCCCCGGCTGAGCCCCGATACTAGGCCGATGTGTGTGTGTGGGGGGCAGTGCAAGGCATCCATTTCCTGGGTGTAATGCTAGCAGGTTCCCAAAGCTGATGCGTGCGGAGGGGGGACATCACTGCATGCTGGGAGACACTTACCCTGGGCACTGTGTGCCACCCTGGATCAATGTCCCTGCCCAGCCGGGGCAAGGGGACAGGTGAGCTCCTCACCCACATCACCCGAGAGCCGGCCTCTGCCTCCTAGATTCCCAGCGGGTGCCAGGCGCTGTTCCTGGCTCCGGGGCCCTGTGCACATTCCCAGCCCCTGGCTCCTATAGAGAAACACACACCGCAGCAGCATGGGCGCACGCGCACACACATACACACAGAGTCTCTCTGCGCCATCACACAAACACACACACACACACACTCAAATGCATCTGAGCCCCTCAGACACTCCCGCTCCGTCTCTCTCTCACACCTGTCCTGCCTCTGCCTGGACAAGGGCCCTCACTGAGCAGCGCACCAGTGCCTGGCAGTGACCCCTCCTGCTCCCTGCCCCAGCACCCCCACTTTGGAGCTCGGGGCCTGCGGGGGTGACTCTAGGGCTGACGAGCACCGAGGTGTCGGGCTCCCCACCAACCCGCCCCATAGCAAAGATCCCGTGTCACTCACCGAGCTGTGGAGTCCAGGTGCCAGCTGCTCCGTATCCGTAGAAACTCAGAGAACGGGGAAGAGGGGGCCCATATGGGAACAGTGCCCATGACGCTGCTCTCGTGGGCCCATTGTTGGAGGGGTGGCGGGGTAAGAATGCAGGAGCCTCTGTACCCTGCAGGGGGTGGGAGCCTATGGCCGAGGGTCCTCTCTTGCCTGGACAAAGACAGCAGGCCCCCTGGAGCAGAAAATTCCCCTCCCACTTTCTTATCGCTTTATCCCCAACGCTTTATCAGCACGCCCGCCCTGAGGCGCCAGGTGGTAAAATGTGGGTTGGCCTGGCTCTTAATAAAGAAGCAAGGTGCTGTAACCCCCCCGCCCCCCCATGCCAGCAGGTAAAGGAGACGGACAGCTGCCAAGGGGGAGGTCCCTTTAGGAGTCCCACCTGGGCTGATGGGTGGGGTTCCGGAGGTGGTTGGTGGCAGGGCAGTGGCTCCAGGCCCCAAGCGACTGGCCAGCTGGGAGGCCGCTCTTACAGGTGGGACTCGGCTGCTGTGTCTCATTCGGCACTGGGCTGAGGGGGTGGCCCTGTCCGTTGACCCTGCGCCAGGCCTCGTGGCCCTAGGGCAACCCCGTGCTGGTGCGTTCCAGCTGCCGGTTCATAAGCGGAACGGACCAGGCACAAAGCTGGGTCCTCCACGATGGGGGGTGGGGGGGAGTGGAGTCTAGGGCAGGCACCTCCCGCCTTGGGGCAAAGGAGGCAGCCTCTAGCCCCAGGTGAAGCACTCCTCCTGGGGGCCGTTTGGCAGGGGAGGGATTCTGGGAAGGTTGCCACGGAGCCCTTGTTTAGAAGGAAGGGGTTGGAAGCTGGATACCAAGGTTGGCACGGCAGCCCTCGCCCAGGGGAGATGGGAAGTGACAGAATTGGGCAAGGCCGAGCCAAAGGGCTGGTTGCAAAGACCCTTGGTCCAGGAGTGACCGACGCAGACGGATGAGGGATCAAGCTCCGGATACTTCCACCTGGGGGAGATCAGATGTTCCCAGCCAGGCCATGCTATAAGCCATTGATCACACCAACCATGCGGGAATGCAGGAGTAATTTATTTATTTCAGGAAGACTAGTTCTAGAATAAAGGCTACATTGTAATATCGTCTTCTTTCTCTCTTTCTTTGTTCGGTTTGTTTTAAAAAGCCAGTAATGCATGGGAGCTAGTTACTGATCTCATGCTGGCGTCAGAGGGGGGTCTAGGCAGGACTGGTATTTACAATGCAAGATACGAGTTGAGTTTCAAAGCACCATACAATATTCAAGACGCCAGTCTCTTAGCTGGGAGTATGCTCTCTTCAATATCATATGACCGGGCGAGATACACGTGTAAACGAACCTCTTGCTCCTTGTTATGATTATTACTGGGCCTCGTTTCAAGGTGATGTGGATAGGTCAGCGCCTCGACAAAACTTCTGCTGGGGGCCTGGCCCCCAGCCAGTCCCCTCGGCCGTGCCTTGCTTTCGATACCTGGCATCCCCGGGGGTAACAAGCTAATGGGGCCATCCCAAGCCTGGCTCCCGCTGTCCGAGACATGGGCTGAGCATGGCTACGCTGAGGGGGGCGACTCTGCTTCACTTGAGTCAGAGCCTAGGTTCCTCAACGAGGGCCCCAGCCAGCTCCCCTTAGCGCCAAGGGGAAGGGTTCCCTCTGAGGCTGCTCTTCCTGACGGATCAGGATCGGCCCCACTAGCTGAGCAGGCCGCTTGCTCAGATTCCACCAGGGGACGCGGGAGGGATTTGGGCTTGGGAACCCCCCCCGGTGGCACCAGCGGGCCCACCCCGGGCCAGGGATAGCCAAGGCTCCTCCCCGTTAACTCGCAGCACAGCGGCTGGCTGCCTGGACGGGAGGAACGAGCCGCCGGCGAACCCCGATGCCGAGAGACTCCTCCTACTCGCTAGTGGACAAGCTGCCCCTAGCGGTGAGGAGGCCCCCAGCGCCCCCTAGGGGACGGGTTTGGGCGAGCAGAACATCCCTTCCCCGGTGCGGAGGCGGGAGGGGACCGCCTGGCGAAGCCACCCAAGGAGCAGGCTCGGCAGGGAACGCGGCTAGTGCCTGGCGGGATTCCAGCTGCTTCCTGCGGAGTCCTTGGGCCGAAGGGAGCCCCCAGATCCTGCCCTGCCTGATGGAGCGAGGGGCTGGGCGGGGGTTTAGACAAAGCCCTCCCCTCTTCCTCCTCCAGCTGCACACCCAGCTGCCCTCTCTGCGATCTGACCCACCCCCTTATTAGGCATTTTTGTGGCTGTCTCGGAGCACGCAGGGCTGGAGGGGGCCAGATCCCCCCGCTGGGGTAAAGCGACGCAGCCCCCATTGACGTCAGTGGGGATTTACTCCCGCTAGGGGAGCTGAGCCGGGGCGGGCTGCCCCGCACAGATTTGCAGCCCAACTCTGCAGGCTCAAGGTGGCCAAGTCCTGCCCCCCACTGGAGCACGGGGTAAAGTCTGGTCAGAACTTCTCCCCTTCGGGTGCTGCTTTGAACTAGGACTCTCCTGGGGTTTGCCAGGCTGCCCCCACCCCCCGTGCTGCTTCCTTCACTGGCTCCATCCGTGTGGCCGTGGTGATGTCCAGTGGCACCCGTCACCGTGGCATCAAGCCACCAGCAGGCGACCCCAACAAGGCAGCTGGGGGAGGGGTGGAGGGAGAGGCCATTGGGCCCAGGTCCAGACCTGCCTTGTATGCAAGACTTCTAAGAGTCCAGCATGCGGTGCGTGCAGCAGGCCTGGCCTCATTCCCCGGGGCCCAGCAGCGCAAACCCAGGGGCGCCCCCGTCAGCGCTCCCCGCCATTGTGCTAGGTCAGGGCTCCTGAGGAGCCCCACACATTGTGCTTCGGCCGGCAGCTTCCGGGCTGCGAAGGGTTAAAGAGTCCAGGGGGCTGGTGAGTGGCAGGGCTGAGCGCAAGGGGCTCCGGCCGCAGAGAAGGGCCCAGGCTGCAGAGGTTGGATCTGCAGCCGGAGTGGGGCAGAGTTCTGGGTCAGCCTATTACAACCACAGGGGCTGGGTGCAGGGTTTGGGTCCAGCTGGGATGTGCCTGGGGTCACCCCACTTGGCACGGCTACCCCTGAGCATCTGCAGCCGTCGGACCTGGGGCCCAACGGGCAATTCCCTAGGGAGCGTAGGGATAAAATACCCCCGCCATGGCCGCCCCCTGCTGTAGTACTGGCATTGCCTGCTGCAGTGCTCGGGGCTGTCCCTGGAGCAGACCAGAGCGCTATTTAAATGGAGGAGGGGTCACTACAAAGGATGCCAGTGGTAGGGGGCGCACGGCTGCTGTGTATTGGCAGGGAGGGAGGGTGGTACTGGGAGAGCAGGGAGGAGGGTCTTTCTAAGCTGGGTGGTACCCACTGGAGCAGACCCTGTGCCATCCATGGCCGCTGGCTCGCTCACTCTGGTATGAGGGTTTAAGTGCAAAGGTTTTCCCTCCACTCGGCTCCTGATTCAGATGTCACAGAGCTGGACCGTGGCCCTCTGCAGAGTCGGTGCCCGCTGGGGGAGGAAGGCTAGGAAGCAGCTCGGGATTCAGACATCTCTAGCTGGAGAGATCCAGCCAGCTTTGCAAAGCAGGCCCCTAGTCCACGAGCAAAAACAGGGGACTGTGCGTGCAAAAGGGGAAGTGTGGAAACTGCATGTGCGCAGAACACGCATTAGTGCAAGCACCAATGGGCAATCAAGCCTGCGGGTGCCCAGTTTTTGCGTGCATATGCTTGTCTCGCACCTCCACCCATTGTGTGTGCACCATTGCCTGTTTTGCACCACCACCAACAGCTGTTGTGAACCAAGGGCTGCCTGCTTGCACCTGGAACTACACTGTTTGCACAGACAGTGGTGCTAGGGGCAGAGGTTTGCACAGACAGTGGTGCTAGGGGCAGAGGTTCCAAAGGCAGCCCCCAGTCACACTTTCCACCTCAGGCTGAGATTCTTGCCAAACCTAGCACTGCCATGCATGCCCCGGCCCAGCCTAGCCCAGTCCAGCCTGGCATAGCCCGGCCTGGCCCAGCCCAGCCCAGGCCGGCCCATCAGTTTGCCCCTCATCCCTCAACGCCCTGAAAATCCCACCGGCTCCACATTGCGTCCAAAACACCATCAAGGTGCTGGCACTCATCCCTCCTCCATCTCTAGCCCTTTCGCCCCCACTGCTGGCTAGATATGTGCTATTCTTTGTGTCACTTCCGCACTACCGACCTCTCACGCTGCGCTGGTGCCACTTGGCATTTTGGCAACAACAAAAGAAAAAGGCAAATGCTGGGGGTGAGAAAGGGATCACTTCTCTCTGGACGCCACCTCACAGCTGCCTCGGCGTAAATAACTCCCTTCCATCTGGGTTCTGTCTCTTCTCGCTGCTTGACCATTCCTGGCCAGCTCCCCCTAGGCTAGTGTCCCGTTCTCTTTAACTTGGCCATGGCCAGCTAAAATCCTCCTTGTGCCGATCACATGCATTTTGTTTTTCAGTATCTCCCACTGTTCAAATAGCCAGGGCCTTCGACAACGTAGAGACCCCTCCTTTGAGTGCCACTGCCCGATGGGGTATTGTACCCGCCCCAGGTGTCCTTGTCGGCTTCCAGGTCCTTGTGATTAACCAGCGTCTCTTGGAACTTGGGCAAACAACCTGAGAGCGGCCCCACCCCCAGCAGGGCCGCGGTGACCTTGGGATTGTGTTCCAGCCTGGATGGACGAAGCGCGTTGCCAGTCCTTCAAAGTCTCTGGGTAAGCGACGTACATCAGATCACCCCTTTGGGAATTGTGTGTGTTCCTTTGACTGGTAAGGAAGGGTCTTGCGAGCAGCCTCTGCCCCCTCGCTTGTAGATTTGGGGTCTCAGCGGCATTAGGGAACCAAATGAGGACTGACCCCCGTGCATTAAAAACCACCCCCCACTATGCCCCAGCTAAAAGTTGTCAGTGTTAGCAGCATTCTCTGTTCAGTTCGTGCCGGAATATGTGAGTGTATCGATGAAGGGCTGAGTGTCCATGCCAAGGCTCAGACAGGTCTCCCCGCGGGCTGCACCCACAGACGGAGTCAAAAGCCAGAGAGTGGGGAAGAGAAGAGAGCAACGTTGATCGAGAGTCTTCTTCCTGCGGCGTTTCCTCAGCTTCCCCCACGCGTCCCTCATCTCGCTGCAAACGAACGAAACCGAAATGCACGTGTGCGATCCAGCCCCAGCCCCCAGTATTGCATATCCCCCTTCCAGAGAGCGAGACCGTGGCCCTCGTCGCCAGGGGAGGGGAACGTCCCGAGCGTGGAATCGGAAAGGGAAACGGTCCCGGGTGAGCGTGCACTGCTGGCTCCCCAGAGCAGTCACAGTGATACGATGCAGCGAGAGGGAGGAGTGGGGGAGACGGGAGGGCAACACCGATGTTTAACTTGTAGGGCGGAGAAGAGACGAGGGACAGTCCGGTGCTTTACATAAGGCTGCATTTCCCCTTGATTTTGTCTGTCCTCTTCTGCTTGTTGGACCGCTTGCCGTCGATGTTGAGGCTCATGTTCCTCCTCTTCTCCAGGTTGAGCAGCTCCTGGAAGAGCTCCTTGACATTGTAGTTCATCTTAGCCGAGGTCTCCATGAAGGCGCACTTCCACTCCTTGGCCACGGCCTCCCCTTCCTTGGTCTCCACCTCCCGCTGGGTCTCGTCACACTTGTTGCCCACCAGCATGATGGGGATGCTGTCCACGCTGCCCTTGATCTGCAGGATCTGCTGGTAGATGGGCTTCAGCTCCTCCAGGGACTGCTTGCTGGTGACGGAGAAGACTAGGATGAAGGCATGGCCTTTGGAGATGGAGAGGCGCTGCATGGCCGGGAACTGGTGGCTACCCGTGGTGTCGGTGATCTGCAGGGTGCAGACGCTCTTGTCGCAGCTGATGACCTGCCGGTAGGTGTCCTCGATGGTGGGGATGTACGTATCCCGGAACGTCCCCTTCACAAAGCGCAGAACCAGGGAGCTCTTGCCCACACCGCCGGCTCCAAAGACCACCACCCGGTAGTCATTGCTTTGCTCGGGCATTTTGAACGGGGGATGCTGACGCACCTGGAAGGGGATGAGACAAAAGAGAGAGAGAAAGAGACACGTCACAGGGTAGGAACGACGAGGGGCAGGAATGGAACGGGCAGAGCAGGGCGGGAGGGGCCAGACTGGCTGTAGGGTTTGACCACCCAGTGCGGCAGACAGCTCATCTGTCCTACCGGTTCCAACCATCAGTCCCTGCACTCCACCTCCCCATCTCCTCGGATCCTCGCACCAGCCC